GGAGGGAACAAGATCCAGACGCGGCGGATCTCTTGGCAATACTGGGACGGCTGAAGCTAAAAGCTTCAAGAAGCAGAATTCAGTGTATGGGATATTAAACAGCAGGGAAGATGGAAGAAAAATTAAGTTGCTGCCAGAGAGTGGCATTCCAAAATTTGAGATTCTAAAAGCAGAGGGATTGCACGGAACAAACATGGAACATGCATGTCACCGAGATCCAGAATTCAGAACTAAAAGCCGAAACAAACACAGTGGAAAAGAGTGCAAAGGGAGGAATTCTCAGAGGACTTTTCATGGTTTTTTGTGCGTACAAGGAAGACGCTAATCTTAAGCTACATGGGACAACAGAGAATGAGCAGCCAGTGTCTAAGTGAAAGACGAATACGAGACAGACTGCATCACATCCATTATTATTAAGAGTGCATTATTTGTAAAAAGCTCATAAAATAAGGATCTAACAATCTTGTAGTTTTCTGTTTATTCACGCAGATCACAGATCAGTAGGTGGCCCCATTTTCCTTTCTTTTGCTGTTCAGCATGATCCCTAAGAATGCAACCAAGATTACTATTCTTATCTGTGATGAAAAATGAAGAATTACATCACATGCATAAAGGACGGATTATTTAGCCTGCACAATTACAGAATTCTTCAGTTTACTAAATGCCTTTTGACTGCATGTAGCTACATTCCAATGAATAATAAAAGTGAAAACACTACACATTTAACCACAGCTTGCTTTAGTTCCTTGAACATGTTCACGGCGGTTCTGGAGCCCTCTTCTAAACGGGCTATCGAGTTGCAACTGCGAGGACTTTCTGTTGCCCTCTTAACCGTCCGCTGAGGTCACACTTTCCTCTTTTTGTATGTCTTGCAATTTTCTGTGGGGAACTGGATGTTCTGAGTTTACTCTGCAGCACCCCCAGGTAATTCTCTCCTCCCCCCAGGGCTCTGTCCCAATCCTTTGCCCATCTGGCTGTTACTTCTGGCAGTGTGGACGCCCAGCTGTGGCAACTGTTTCGGCCTGCCTACAGTCACCTGCAGATGGCGCTGATTCTCTGAGCGCTCCTTTCTGGGCGGCTCCCGCTCTCCCTGGGAGGGTGATGGCTTCGGTGTGCCCAGTCACCTAGGGATGTTGGCAGTTTTGCTGGTTTTCTAGGCCTCTTTTCCTGACTATACCAAGATGTTAAGCGCCCCTAATTGCCAGTTGATTGTTGTGCTGTGTTCAAGAACGTCTTGGAACATGAACTGCTCTAGAGCTAAACCAAGCAAAGTTAGAATCATCTGAAGGAATAATTTCCATGGTCTTTGTCTACTATTGGTTACGATCCCAGAAGGGGTCCCTTTCGCTTAGTTCTCTTCTGCCCAGCAGCCAGCCCGCAGTTGAGCTCAGTTTCATTGAGTACATAAGCATCCTCCCAGTTATCTTTCACCACAATCTCCACTTACTTTTAAAGAGTGGACCATGAACTTCTGCTTTTCTATTTTCTATTGGAAAGGGTCAGCTTCTTTCTCTCTCCTTCTTTCTTTCCCTCATTCCTTCTCTCTCTCTTTTTTTTTTTGTCCTTTTTCTCCATCTATAGAAGAGGGCTTACAAACTGGTAACTACAGTTCCAATTATGCTTGTAGAAATGTCTAGCTGGGAATGTTTTCCCATTTAGAACCTGTAACCACACCTAGACTCTCCAGCCAGCCTTATTATACTGTCTCACCATTTATTTTATAATGACTCAGTTAATGCCCTGTCATTTTGTGCCCAGTGCTGTATGCTTTACCCCGTACACTACTGGCTACATAGAAATGCCATTTCTTTTCCTTATCTGGGTAGACCCTTAAAGGTATTTTCTCCAAATAACACAAAAGTGTTTCCAAAAAGGAACTGGAGAATCTTAGTTGTTCAACAAATAGCTAACTTCACAAAGGACTTATTTTTATTTTTATTGCAAAGTCAGACTTAAAGACAGAAAGAGAGAAAGATCTTCCATCTGTTGGCTCACTCCCTAAGTGGCTGCAATGGCCAGAGCTGAACCAATCCAAAACCAGGAGCTTCTTCCAGTCTCCCACGTGGGTGCAGGGTCCCAAGGCTTTGGTCCGTCCTCCACTGCTTTCCCAGGCCACAAGCAGGGAGCTGGAAGGGAAGAGCTGGGACACGAACTGGCACCCATATGGGATCCTAGCACATGCAAATGAGAACTTTAGCCTCTGGGCTATAGCGCTGGGCCCAGTTTATATACATATTTTTAAGAGAATAGAAATTATATACCCTCTTCACCTCTTAGCTTGGCTATATGTTTTTTTTCACCCTTGAAACACTTTATCTCATCCTTTTCTATACTTCTGTATCATGATAAAGTAGTACTAGATTTGAATGAGAGACCTTTTCTTCCAGCTACTGCATCATATTTCACTGAACAGAGAGAACTGCGTTAGGTAAGGCTTATAATAATTACTGTCATGGAAATCACATCATTTGCTTCAAACATACGTAAATGTTTGGATGCCGTCATGGAAGATTTAATGCACAAAGTACTGATTTGTATAGAAGTATTATTTAGGATGCAAACCATAATTATGTGAAAGCATTTTTCATACCTATGTTTCAGAATGTCTATGTATTAGCATTGGGAACACAAAACAAGATAAACAAACAGCTTCTTTTGTGCTTTAGAATAAGCTCAAGTGCGTTCAAGTTTATGTATATATGCCCTTTGTTTTACATTTAAAAATGTACAATAGTATTTTTGTGTAAAGACACATCAATGATTAGAGACTTAAAAGAGCGGAACAGGATGGTTTGCTTTGCTGTTTCTGTCAACAAATTATCTGAATGAAAGAATAGTGAAGTTAATTAATTCATTTTTAAAATCTACGAATCGTTTCTGTAAAAATTAAGATCAGAAAGCACATTTACTTGCCTTATTCAATCTACTATTTTTCTTTTGTTTTTAAAAAGATTTATTAATTTTTATTGGAAAGTCAGATATACAGAGGGGAGAGGAGACAGAGAGGAAGATCTTCCATCTATTGATTCACTCTCCAAGTGAGCGCAATGGCCGGAGCTGAGCCAGTCTGAAAGCAGGAGCCAGGAGACTCTTTCGGGAGTCCCATACAGGTGCAGGGTCCCAAGGTCCTAAGCTGTCCTCCACTGCTTTCCCAGGCCACAATCAGAGAGCTGGATGGAAAAAGGTGCTGGGATTAGAATTGGCACCCATATGGGATCCCGGGGCACTCAAGGCAATGGCTTTAGCCACTAGGCTCCTGCACCAGACTGACTCTACTATTTTTCAATGCCTTCATGTCTCTCTTTTTGTAGAGTCATAGTGGACTCTCATCAGCTTCTTCAGGGCGTCCTTCATGTCTTTATTCCTTAATGTGTAAATGAAGGGGTTGAGACTTGGAGTGACGATGGTGTCAAAGAGGTTGAGGAATTTGCCCTGGTCTTTGGAGGCACGGTTCCCTGGTTGCAAGTACATGTAAACAACAGTTCCACAGAAGATGGACACTACAGTGCGAGGAGATCCACAGGTGTTCACTGCTTTTTGCTGGCCTGCTTTTGACCTCATCCTCAAGCTTGGCTATGTGTTAATCAACATTACTTATCTTCCCAAAGAATTTGCTTTTAGATTGATTATTTTTCTACCAATTTTCTAGATTTCTGTTTTAAGTGTTATGATTTCTTCACTCAGTTTAGATTTAACTTGTTGTTCTGAGTTTATGCCTGTCTCCATAACTCTGCCCTTCAAAGAAAAAAAAAACCCTTAGATTAATTTTAATTTTCTCTATTATCTTCTTTTAATGTTACTAATTCCTCTAAAATCTGTGTTTTCCCTGCATCCTACAAACTCTGATATCATCTTCAACTTCATTTGGTTCAAAACATTTTGGCCCCATATGTTATTTAGAATAACAAGTGTGATGTTTAATTTCTATGTATTATGAGATTTTTCATTGATCTTTCTGTTACTCAAGTCTGGTTTGACTCTACTTGATTTACAATTTTATTACCTTGAAGATTTTTGTTTATTGGTTTTCAAGGTCAGAGTTACAGAAGAAGGAGAGACAAGATCTTCCACCTGTTGGTTCACTCCCCAGATGGCTCCAATGGCCAGCGTGGGTCAGACTGAAGCCCGGAGTCAGGAGCTCCATCAGGGTCTCCGACGCTTGTGGCAGGGGCCCAGACACTTGGGCCATCTGCTCTTGCCTTTCCCAGGCCACAGGCAGGGAGCTGGATTAGCGGATCAGCTGGGTCACAATCCAGTACTCAAGGAGGATGCCAGTTCCTCAGGCTTATCCACTATTAATGCTGGCCGCCTATAGCCTTATTCGACTGTGATTTAAAAAGAAAAAAGATTTATTTATTTTTTTATTTCAAAGACAGAGTTACACAGAGAAGGAGAAGGAGAGAGAGAGAGAGAGAGAGCTCGCTCTTCTATCTGTGTACTTTCTGTTCTTGCTTCAGCAGCACATATACTAAGATTGGAACCATGTGCATACTTTTCAAACATTCTGCTTTTCTCATCTCTCTCCCTGCTTTTCAGATGGGAATGTTCCCACGAATACACCTTCACGATCGCTCATCCTTTCCTTGGACAGGACCATTTTCTATCAAAGGCATACTTCCATTTCTGCTACAATATTTTTGACTTTCTCTCCCTTCCTTCTTCCTATCCTTTGCCTAATTTTAAACTCCAACGTTCCCAAAGACTAGCATCTAGGAAAAAATACTAATAATTATTTAGTGGCATTTAAAAATCAACATATTTTTCCTATCTCTTCAGAATAAACCTGTATGCAAAGCAAGCATTTCTAAGATAAATACATATAAAAGTTCCCTCTTGTACCAGAACGAACGAAAGGTCTAACAGACAATAAATGCATGGTACAAAGAATGATAAGAAAATAAAGGAAAGCTGTTACCAATTTTAAAAGGCAGGATTTTCAGCCTGGAAGTTTGATGCTTTTGAACTTAGGGAAAAAACAACCAACCAAGCAAACAACTCACGTTCCATTTCTTCAAACATGACTGAGAAGAGGAAGTCTCGTGGCGTCATGTAATATTCTCCTTCATGTTCCAGTGAAGAAAACTGCATGAACCGCTGTTTGCGAAGAGATGGTCTCTCCATGGCTCCATGGTCAACATTTTTCTAAAAGATATAAAATTTGCAATTTAGAAATTTTTCGGTGTTATTTCTAAACTCACCTACTTAAAATCTTTGAAGGATGATTTTCTTGTTTAGGTCTGACAACTTCCAAACTTCTGGATGATTTATTTATTTTTATTTATTTCCTTTTTACAGGAAAGTGGGTAAGACTATTATTTCCACATTTTTTTTTTTCTGAATTTGAGGTAAAGGAGGAGATAAAGGGAGAAGCCCCACCCAGTCTCCTATCTATCCCATGTCCCTGATGTGGGGCATGCTCTGAGATACTTGCTCAGGTGGTTTTGATAATTCAACAGTCATGAATTGTTGCCAATCTCGCCACTCCAAGCACGATGAGGTCGCTGCAGAATCCACTGATTGACATAGTCCACCTTGGAGTCTCTGTGCCCAGTTTTTCACTGCCAACATATGGTTGGGGTTGTTGACTGATTTGTTCTGTCCTCTGTTATGGTGCCAGGTATCAGATCTTTGCAGGTCTCGATGGACTGCCATACCCTCTTTGTGCACCTGGTTATGCTGTCCACTGCTCCATCTGAGCCTCTCAGGAGGCTCGGCTCTGGCACTTGCACTCCATGGGCAGGCTATGGAACCTGTACTTCTCTTAATGGTTAGGGTTCTGAGTCAGTTCGATTGGGGAAATCCCAATAGAAACTTTGAGGCGATCCCAGACCAGATTCTTGTGTGTACTTGCAAGTACAGGGCCCGGCACAGTCCATCACCCCAATCAGCTGGGGGTTGCAACTGCTTGGTCGGTTCTGTTTCCAGCCTTGTCTTCCCCTGGAAACAACGGGTGTTGCAGTCCAGCCTGATTCTGCCCACCACACACTTGACCCCCACATTAACCAGTGGGAGCAGCCTAGTTGGAGCAACCCAAAATAACCCCCACCAGGCTCGTCCCCTGCCCTGGTTCCTGTGCTTGCCAGTATGTACAGCAGACTAGTCCAATCTGTCCTACATCCCATTCAGCTCTCATACATGTCAATGGGCACTGAAGCCTAATTCAACCCAACCAGCCCTACTTTCCAGCCCACACAGATGTTGTTGGGTGTCTGTCTAGCCACCCCAGCCCCTGTCCTAGTTTCAGTGCTCTCCAGTGGGAGTGGTAACCCAAGAGGGAGGATCCCACTATTTCCCTTCTAGGCCACTTCCACTCCTGGATTATGCACTCCAGGTGGTTCTGTGGTTTAACTTGACAGATTCAGCCTCCAGTGTCAGCCTCTGCCAGCTGATGCTGCGGCAAAGCCCAACCAACCCTCACCCACTCTAATTTTTGCTTGTATCAGTTGGAACAGCCAGCCCAACCTGGCTTTTCCTGATCTAGCTCACATGAGGTCACAGGTGTTGTAGCCCTGCCTGGTCTGATCTGTTCCCATCCTAACTCACACTCTCCAGTGGTTGTCAGCAAGGGAGCCCACATTCCCCCTGCCGGCTCTGCCACCTTTCCCTGGTTCTCATGTATGCTGTTTGGGCACTGCGGCCACATCTGGTACGGGTCACTTCACCTTGGCATTCTGTAATGGGCACTGGTTTGTGTTGCTGAACCTGGCCCCACCTACACTCTGTTCGGGTGCTTGGATTCACCAGCAGGTGGTATGAACTGGTTCAGCCTGGTCTGCCCCCGATCTGTGCCAAATGTATGCCAGTGGGTACCCTTCCCTGGCCTGGTCTAGGCTGTTCCCTATTGTGCTTCTTGCGCTCACCTGCAGGGACTGTGTCCTGCCAGAGGAGTTGCCCAAGCTCCTCCATCAGAACCTCTCCCAATGCCAGATTTCATGCATATCGGTGGGTCATGAGACAGCCCTATTCAGTTCACCCACTGTCCTAGCAGGAGCAGTGGCCTTTCCTGACTGGCCTTCAACCCAATCTGGTTCTTACTGTTGGATGTTTCAGCCCAGCCAAGGCTCGCTGATGATTTATTTAACGAGTATATACCAAGTGCATACTCTTCACTGTCTTCTTTAAAAAATTATTTACTTGAAAGATTTATTTAGAGAAAGGAGGAGATCTTCCATCTACTGTCTCACTCCCCAGATGGCCACAAAGGCTTGGAGGACAAAGCCAGGATCAGGCACTTTGGCCAGGCCTACCACGTGGGTGGAGGTGGCCCAAGCAATCAGGCATGTTCCTTTGCTTTCCCAAGCACATCAGCAGGGAGCTGGATCAGAAGTGGAGCAGCTGAGGTTCAAACTAGTGCCCTGATGGGCTGTCGACACTGCGGGTGATAGCTTAACCCACAGTGCCACAGCTTTGTATTGTTTTATGCACTGAAGATCCAGTTGTGAATAAGACGAACCGGAGGCAAGCTGCATCTTGGAAAGGGAGAATGTCAGTTAATACCTAATGTGTAAGATAATATAAAATAGTAAGAAGCTCCACGAGGAAATACAAAGCAGGCTAAGAAAGCAGGAAGGGACAGTGTTTTAGCAGGATTCTCAGGAAAGGTCTTCCAGAAGTGAGCTTCCCAGGCCGTGAGCTGCGGTGCCCACGGGGGGGAGGACCCACGGGGGAGGAGCAGGGGCTGTCCCAGGAAGGGCAGGGGGACACATCACCAAGTGGATGAAGTCAGAAAGGCAGGAAGGCAACAGAAAGCTGCACTTCCCTAAGAAGGAAATACTTTACTCTGCTTCCGGAAACCGAAGTGAGAAGGCACGAGGGGAAGTGAGTTAATGACTGTTAGCGTAACAGTCTGTTTTCTCCGCCACTAGATCTGGGCGCTGACCAGCTGCTAACGAAGACGGTGCTAACACTGTCAGTGTTAACTTTCCACGGAACCCTTACTAACCAAAAGGACTTCAACGTTTTAAAAAGGTGATTTAGTTATCCTTGCAACAAGACCACAACTGAAACAGGACTGAAAGGTAAAGGGCGGAGCCAGGCTTTAAAAAAAACTAAAATCAGGTCTGACTGACATGAAGGGCTTCAATCTCTTAATCACACACTACATGCTGCATAGGCCTGAGCACTGTGGCCAGGTGGCCTGGGGGACGGGGACAGGGCAGTCCACGTGGACAGTCACGCCAGGCGGCCTGGGGGATGGGGACAGGGCAGTCCACGTGGACAGTCACGCCAGGCGGCCTGGGGGACGGGGACAGGGCAGTCCACGTGGACAGTCACGCCAGGCGGCCTGGGGGACGGGGACAGGGCAGTCCACATGGACAGTCACGCCAGGTGGCCTGGGGGACGGGGACAGGGCAGTCCATGGACAGCCACGCCAGGCGGCCTGGGGGATGGGGACAGGGCAGTCCACGTGGACAGCCACGCCAGGCAGCCTGGGGGACGGGGACAGGGCAGTCCACGTGGACAGTCACGCCAGGCGGCCTGGGGGATGGGGACAGGGCAGTCCACATGGACAGTCACGCCAGGTGGCCTGGGGGACGGGGACAGGGCAGTCCACATGGACAGCCACGCCAGGCGGCCTGGGGGATGGGGACAGGGCAGTTCACGTGGACAGCCACGCCAGGCAGCCTGGGGGACGGGGACAGGGCAGTCCACATGGACAGCCACGCCAGGCAGCCCTGGGGGACGGGGACAGGGTAGTCCACGTGGACAGCCACGCCAAGGACGACAGTGAGAGTGCACACTGCTGTCCTGCAACACCCTGCCTGACAAATTCAAAAGGGGGAAATAGAAATTAGTTTCCTAAAACTCCCCCAATTCAAAGCTGTTGACAGTTCCTTTTCAGCTGACCCCAGTTCTCTGAACAATGGTGATCTTCCTCCTTAAGACAATAGGTCTCAGGCCCGATGCAATAGCATAGTGATTAAAGTCCTTGTCTTGCACGCACCAGGATATCCATATGATCACAGGTTCTAATCCTGGAGGCCCTCCTTCCCATCCAGCTCCCTGCTTGTGGCCTGGGAAAGCAGTCAAGGATGGCCCAAAACCTTGGGACCCTGCACCCGTGTGGGAGACCCAGAAGTTCCCGGATTCTGGCTTTGGATCGGCATAGCATCAACCATTGCGCTCACTTGGGGAGTGAACCATGGGATGGAAGATCTTCCTCTCTGTCTCTCCTCCTCTCTGTATATCCACCTTAACAAAACACAACACAACACAACAAAACAAAACAAAACACAACAAACAGGTTTCCTTGAGCAGCTAATTTTACACCTGTATTGTGCTCCATATTCAGAAAGTGTCCACAGCACACTGTACATACAAGGAACACTCTGTATGCAGACACATGGTAAAATAGATTTATTCGTTGAAAATATATATTGGTTTATTCAAGAAATTTTATTGAGCATCTATCGGAAAACAATGGTAAATAAAGCAAACATTCATTCCCAGAGCACTAAGCGCTCTGACAAATGAATTTACAGTTAGCCTATGGGCTGGGACAGGAAGAGAACAAAGGAGAGGGTACTGGCAGTTAAGCAGCAGCACCTGCAAAATCCCTGATACGAGGGAGAATACAGCATAGCAAAAGAATCAAAATAAGTTCAACTTGGGCAAATACTACATTAATTTTTGTTTATTATACAAATGTTAATTGTCTATCACCAGATAAGCAAAAGTTTAAATACAGAAAAAGTACAACTCGAATTCTTAATTAAATGTTAGGTCACTTACACGTCCAGGATTTAGGTTATTCGTAAGTGGCTGACAGTGCCCTTTGGGGCCAGGCTGCCTCCTGTGACGCTGGTGTCCCCTGTACGCACAGGCTGAAGTCCTGGCCGCTCCACTTCTGATCCAGCTCCCTGCTAACGGGTCTGTGCTCCGTTACCCTCACTGGAGTCCGGGATGCAATTTCAGGCACCTCTCCCATTTTTTTTTTTTTTTTTTGCAGAATTCAAGGGACAATCACACAGACGCAAGCACAAAAGTACCTAATACTTACTAAGTACGAAACACAGGCACCAACACCTTATCATTTCTGTTCTCACTCGGGCCTTAGAATGACCCTAACAAGACGTAATTTTCATCTTGATTTTTCAAAAGCAGCAGCTAAGGCTTGTCAGTTAACCATTTGACCTAGGTTA